AGGAATCAGGGATCAAACGGCTCTGTACGGAGCGACGCTCCAGAAACGGCCCCTCCTACTCCCCCCAACGCTTGTCCGAGTCCCACACACCGGCCTCCGCACTCTCTTTCTTCTTCCACTGGCTGTCTCTGCAAATCTTATCAAATAATTCACATTCTGGAGGGGGGGTGGGGGTGTATACCTGGCCTGTCACTGTGTGCCCCGCATATCCACTCTCCCCATGGTTGGATCTGAATGCCTCCGCTCTGATATTACCCCCGGGCCTCCATAATGGCCGCTGGCTGATAAATGCATCACGGAAGCACAAGCATACAGCAATAGCACTGAGGTGAAAGTGTGCGAATAGAAATTGAAAATGTACAAGTGCATTAGGTGGACAGAGCACGAAAATCCACACGCTGATTATGTCAATCACATGGGAATATGTGATATTGTCAGAGATATTCTGCTGTAAAGACTAATGGTCACCCTAATTGTGATCTTAAGATGGTTGAGCTGCTGTTATAGTGTTGTAAGTCTCACCTGTTCACCCTCTTTGTAGTCTTTGAGAGCCACACATTCGCATCGGTCATCCTCTAGATTGTAGCCAGTCGTAATCTAGAACAGAACAGAACAGGTTTTGTTCATATTTGAGTAACTTAATATACTCCTGAGGTGTATTTTACAACATTATGGACACCTTAGCACTGTCCATTTGTTATCAGACCATCAGCCATAAATGGTCAGCACAAACTTTTTTGCTACTTGAACATAAAATGTAATATTATGTAATAATATTTTATGTAATAAAATGTTAAATATAATTACCACATTAAAATGGTAATTATGAACATTTAGGAATCACAACTGCAAGGCTAGTTTATGAAATATTTCTGTGGGTAAGAATAAGATAAATAAAACAAAACAACAGGGCAAATCCAACAAATAAACGCCACTTATTAAAAGTTATAGAGTCAACCTATTAAAATAACACACCCTAGCAAATACAATCCTTCACTATTAAATCTCTTAAAATCTTCAGAAATCAACTAAATCAAATAAACTGAGTAAATTGTCCGTAAAACACCGCTGGAACACATAGAATGTGTTTTTATTAAACCTTAACCATGGGATTACCAGAAAACCATTTCATTACACATTTTAATGACCGTGATTTTCAATGCACATGATAATTGGAAACAAAACTTCGTTTTAGGATATATAAGTGCATTACAGAATCATATGAACAGAGGCGATATATTGCTCTGTGGCAAGAGCTACAAAGCGCAATCAAAGACAAATTATCCGAATAAATATAAAAGATCCCTTGGGATGATGGCATAATCTACCGAAAAATCACATTAGATGTTCTTGCATTCCTTAAAAGTAAATGTTTTTTTCCTGTACTTCAAGACTGCAATACAAGTGAAAGCACTGTAAACATCCATGTCATGCAGGAATTTATAGAAAAATGGTTCAACTGAATTGGTTGCAAAAGCTTTCTGCTACTCATAAATTATTTTTGATGGGGAGCTCGGTGTTCATTTTGAAGCAGCGCTGCAAACTCACCAGGCCATTGGTGTGGTTGCACATGTCCCAGAGAGGGATGAGGGCCAGTGTGACCCGACTTCCGTCTGCTGTAGGAATCTGGTTCTGACGGGTCATCACAGAGGACACTGCCCACCTGATATACAAATGTCATTGCTTCATTACAGATTCAAAACTGGTGCAATATTTGTAACAGACACAAAACTGGTTGAAATAATGGATAATTTCTGGATCATTTCAAAGTATTGTCTTTGCATTTGATCTACTAAAACGGCTGAACATGTTTGATCTACTAAAACTGCTGAACATGTTAAAGGGAAATATAATGGGAAAACAGGATTTCTCTTGCTCTTTTAAAATCTTTTTGAGTTTAATGTACACCCAAAACAAAATTGCCTTCCCAGTCCACCCAGAACATGTATATAGACACTAATCTGCAAACACAGGTCATTCAAATCTACATGGCATTTACATCACCACCCTCACCATCTCTAGCTAGAATGTTCAGCAAATGATACATTTTATTTATTTATTTGTTACTGTAGATTAATTGATCACCACAAGACAAGTAATGTGTGCTAACAAAATAAACATTCAGTTCTGATGTTCATTCTTCATGCAAAAAGGTTAACCAATCAAAACAGGGGTCATTTGCTTATTAGAATTCTTAAATGTACAAGAGTAAAAATGGCCTGTTTAATTCATAAAGCCAAAGCAAGGGTGAAAAATGGTCATAAAACTGTCTTATTACATTACAAGTGAACTTCAGAGAAAATATTTTTAAAAAGTACATAATATAGCGGCTTTAATAGTCTGCATATTAGGCAATAAAATGACCTTAGATCTGATTTGTCCTGAAGAAAAAAAAAAATGACCGTGATTTTCAATGCACATGATAATTGGAAACAAAACTTCGTTTTAGGATATATAAGTGCATTACAGAATCATATGAACAGAGGCGATATATTGCTCTGTGGCAAGAGCTACAAAGCGCAATCAAAGACAAATTATCCGAATAAATATAAAAGATCCCTTGGGATGATGGCATAATCTACCGAAAAATCACATTAGATGTTCTTGCATTCCTTAAAAGTAAATGTTTTTTTCCTGTACTTCAAGACTGCAATACAAGTGAAAGCACTGTAAACATCCATGTCATGCAGGAATTTATAGAAAAATGGTTCAACTGAATTGGTTGCAAAAGCTTTCTGCTACTCATAAATTATTTTTGATGGGGAGCTCGGTGTTCATTTTGAAGCAGCGCTGCAAACTCACCAGGCCATTGGTGTGGTTGCACATGTCCCAGAGAGGGATGAGGGCCAGTGTGACCCGACTTCCGTCTGCTGTAGGAATCTGGTTCTGACGGGTCATCACAGAGGACACTGCCCACCTGATATACAAATGTCATTGCTTCATTACAGATTCAAAACTGGTGCAATATTTGTAAGACACAAAACTGGTTGAAATAATGGATAATTTCTGGATCATTTCAAAGTATTGTCTTTACATTTGATCTACTAAAACGGCTGAACATGTTTGATCTACTAAAACTGCTGAACATGTTAAAGGGAAATATAATGGGAAAACAGGATTTCTCTTGCTCTTTTAAAATCTTTTTGAGTTTAATGTACACCCAAAACAAAATTGCCTTCCCAGTCCACCCAGAACATGTATATAGACACTAATCTGCAAACACAGGTCATTCAAATCTACATGGCATTTACATCACCACCCTCACCATCTCTAGCTAGAATGTTCAGCAAATGATACATTTTATTTATTTATTTGTTACTGTAGATTAATTGATCACCACAAGACAAGTAATGACACTGGAACCAAAACATAAAATGAACTTGGCAAACTTCAAAAGACAAATCACTTACAGATCTGAATACAAAATAACGTCCTTAATAAAAAACATCTCTGCAACATGAAGATTTCAACTGTAAGTTGTTGTTTTTTAAATATTCTGCTCAACATTGCTAATCCGTTACAGTGAATGTTAAATCAACATCCAGCAAATGTTTGAAAATGTAATTCTCAAATGAGAAACAACTGACCATGGCTTGATGAAAAGCTGATAATTAAATGATTTAAAAAAATAAAAATAATAATAATAATAATGTTTTTTTTTTTTTAAATAACACTTTCCACACAAAATGAAATATTTTATTAGTTTACCTGCATGCCATGTGGCTATTAACCAAACAAAGAACTGTGAACGTGAATATTTTGTTAAATTATTAAAATATTAACATAAAATATCAGGGGATACTTTAAATACTAGTAAACTAGCTGACACAAAAACGGGGGAATCCCTGCAGTAACCAGTCAAGACTCATTAAGCTTGAACAGTACAAAACAATTCAGTGAATAGTAATATAAATTATAATGTTTGTCATTATTGCATGACATCAGAAGACTTCTTTTATGGTGCTTTTAAATTCATGCTACAAGCTTTTGTTGTATGGAAAAGAGCAGAATGAACACCGCAAAACATCTCCTTTTGTGTTCCATGGAAAAAAAAGTCATACAGGTTTGGAATGACAACAAGGTGAGTAAATGACAGTTTTACAACCTTTCGAATACAATGCGAAGGTTTCCAGGTAATGCGCTCCTTCACAGATGTCTCCGAGACGTATCTGTGCTTACTGGAAAGGGGGCACAAACTCCTTCTGTCAACCAAGTTGCACCATTAGGCTCGTAAACTGAGGAATAAAAGCATGAAATGCAAGCGCTCAGAAGTAGTGGCTAACTTTTACCTTGATCTACTAAAACGGCTGAACATGTTTGATCTACTAAAACTGCTGAACATGTTAAAGGGAAATATAATGGGAAAACAGGATTTCTCTTGCTCTTTTAAAATCTTTTTGAGTTTAATGTACACCCAAAACAAAATTGCCTTCCCAGTCCACCCAGAACATGTATATAGACACTAATCTGCAAACACAGGTCATTCAAATCTACATGGCATTTACATCACCACCCTCACCATCTCTAGCTAGAATGTTCAGCAAATGATACATTTTATTTATTTATTTGTTACTGTAGATTAATTGATCACCACAAGACAAGTAATGTGTGCTAACAAAATAAACATTCAGTTCTGATGTTCATTCTTCATGCAAAAAGGTTAACCAATCAAAACAGGGGTCATTTGCTTATTAGAATTCTTAAATGTACAAGAGTAAAAATGGCCTGTTTAATTCATAAAGCCAAAGCAAGGGTGAAAAATGGTCATAAAACTGTCTTATTACATTACAAGTGAACTTCAGAGAAAATATTTTTAAAAAGTACATAATATAGCGGCTTTAATAGTCTGCATATTAGGCAATAAAATGACCTTAGATCTGATTTGTCCTGAAGAAAAAAAAAAGGTCTTATCTAGTCTAAATAATCTGGACGTAATTTATTAAAAGAAACTTCATGAAGTCCACCGAAGACAACATTAGCTGTGACAAGACGCTATTCCATTCTCTTCACACATTACCCAACGAGAGCACAGACTTGCATCATATTCAACAATCTGAAGATGAAAGGGGACCAATGATAAATTATTCCTTCACAGATAATTTGGTGCTAATGAAAGAACAATGAGAACAAACGTCTCATTTTTAAAGGCCATCGCGTAGCCCTACAACCAACCTATGGCTCGTCTTCCTGCTCTTTTCTTTGTTTGAACCTCAGCAGGGAAGAGAAGTTCCACTTTTTTTTAACATGGTAGGACATTTCAACCAACCTGTAGTCGTCAAAGGTAAAAGCATCCTTCAAGGGCAGTTTGCTGGCATTCGGATGAGTCTGGGAATTGAAGATGAAGAACACAGAGAGTGGAGGGAAGGAAAAAGGAGAAAAGAGAGAGTAAAGGACAAGAGAGAAGGAGATATGGAGGTAGATGGGGAAAGGAGGAAAGAAAGAGCAAGAAAAAAAAAAAAAAAAAAAATCAGTCAGGGGAATTTCATTATGGGGCTGCCTAACAGAGTTACAGTGAATGTTAAATCAACATCCAGCAAATGTTTGAAAATGTAATTCTCAAATGAGAAACAACTGACCATGGCTTGATGAAAAGCTGATAATTAAATGATTTAAAAAAATAAAAATAATAATAATAATAATGTTTTTTTTTTTTTAAATAACACTTTCCACACAAAATGAAATATTTTATTAGTTTACCTGCATGCCATGTGGCTATTAACCAAACAAAGAACTGTGAACGTGAATATTTTGTTAAATTATTAAAATATTAACATAAAATATCAGGGGATACTTTAAATACTAGTAAACTAGCTGACACAAAAACGGGGGAATCCCTGCAGTAACCAGTCAAGACTCATTAAGCTTGAACAGTACAAAACAATTCAGTGAATAGTAATATAAATTATAATGTTTGTCATTATTGCATGACATCAGAAGACTTCTTTTATGGTGCTTTTAAATTCATGCTACAAGCTTTTGTTGTATGGAAAAGAGCAGAATGAACACCGCAAAACATCTCCTTTTGTGTTCCATGGAAAAAAAAGTCATACAGGTTTGGAATGACAACAAGGTGAGTAAATGACAGTTTTACAACCTTTCAAATACAATGCGAAGGTTTCCAGGTAATGCGCTCCTTCACAGATGTCTCCGAGACGTATCTGTGCTTACTGGAAAGGGGGCACAAACTCCTTCTGTCAACCAAGTTGCACCATTAGGCTCGTAAACTGAGGAATAAAAGCATGAAATGCAAGCGCTCAGAAGTAGTGGCTAACTTTTACCTTCCACGTCTCTCCCCATTAATCAACTTTCCTGACACTAATTGAGCCCTGTATTCCCCCTCACTGCTCTAGAACCCACACACACTTAGCGAAGACGGTGAAACCATGTGGCCACATCATATCTTTACCTGTGACTCAGTGTGTCGGCAGAGTACAGTCCAGTTTTGACATTGTTGTAGCCCTACAGCAGAGCATAAGAACTTGTACTTCTCTGTGAGCAACCAGGCAAAGGTCTAACACGCTCAGGTGGATGAAGGTCTACAGGTCAGCTGTGAATTCGTAAAGCACGATATAATAACAGAGCAAAGCCTGTCCACTTCCTTTCATTTTAACCCCAATTCTGGCAACAGGCTGACTTGGTAGTAGCGCTCACGCAGGGTGATGGACAACCATTAAAAGATAAGCATTGGGTAAAGCCAACGAGTAAGAATTCAGTGACTTGGGTTTGAGCCTCACAATGCAGATGAAGGGAAGTGGTTCATGTAAGGATGGGAACCGGAAAAAAAAAAAAAAAAAAAAGCATATTACAGGTTTTGACGGAAGTAATAGGGCAAATCTCCAGAGAGTCACAAGCAGTTCTCCAAACTTCCTGTAATAAGATGTGCTGAGGCATCTTTGAACATCGGTAACCATTATAGGCCACCTGAAAAGGGTTAAAGTGCCATTAATGATATTTTCAGCCCTCTGAGAACTGAATACTCGAGTGCCCGAGTACCGTAATAGATTCAATTAAGGCAATAATTAGTTGAACAGAGTGATAAACCTCAGGGGGAAGGGCTGCAGAAAGGCCATGAAGAGGTCTGCCCGGATCCCTCAGAGCACTGTGGGTTAGGATAAGGCCTCTAGTCTGGAAAAATGTAGGATGTGCGCACATACAGAGGTAGTTTGAGACGGCACGTTTGATGAGGTGTAGTTTTTGGAGATAAAGGGCAGCTGCACCGCTGCAGGTTCAGCTGGTGATGCATTAGCATCACCAGAGAGAGGTAATTCATCATGTGCCACAATGGCACCGCGGCTCAGAGAGAGACGAGGGGGGAACAGCCCTGTAAATCAATTAGAAAACAAAAGCTCCCACCACGAGCGCCTGCTCTCCTTAACGAGGATGGCGGGAAACGCGGCTAATTGGCCGGTGGCCTCCAGGAGGTCTTTCTGGAGCCGAGATCCCCAAGCACCCCATCCGCCGCACTGGCCGACATTAGAGAGCTCGTCATCCGTGCGCATGCTGAGGTTCAAACGGGATTGATTTTAGTCCTTACTTCCGTTACGTCGACTGTTTCAACATTCGACTTTGTGCATAAAAATGATGAAACGAACGTCGTCGTTCAACATCGCAAACTCTCCCTTATTTTCCGAGCTGCATCAGGAAGGTCAGAGAGAGGGGGTGGGATGAGAGCATACCACTGGGACCCTGTTCATTTCTCATCAACAGCAGCAGATGCAGCACACCAAGGTTACTTTGCATTCGCTGCATACCGGGGTCACCTTATGAGGTTCACCTCCCCCGCCCACACACACACACACAAGCATCCAGCCCCAGTGAGAAAGGCGCGGCTATCATTGGTCCCCCGCGGACACGGGATGTGCTTGGATACTCCTCGGAGGGCACCCGGCGTTGACAACAGCCTATCCCCTCTTCACGCAGTCAAATATATATATAAAAAGCTCCTCAATTCCAGCAGGTGAAGGGCCTTGCTTTCTCAGTTCTTCCCGAGGAGAAGCAGAGAGGAGGGGGGAGGGAGGGACCAGATAAAGCAGGCGGTGGGAGAAGAAGGGGGGGCTGGGGTTGTCAGTCATGTGTGGAAGGTACAATCAGGTCAATTCAATTCAAAGCCAATGTGACAACCTAATTTTCCAGCCCGGTCATCTGCGGCCGCCTCAGAAGGGAGGCTGACATTGACAGTAGTCATTACAGTGACACTGGCTCCCAACCTGAAGAGCCTAGAGGAGAGTAGCGCACGCATCCAGCCCCAGCGAGGAACGCGCGGCTATCATTGGTCCCCCGCGGACACGGGAGGCACTCTGATACTCCTCGGAGGGCACCCGGCGTTGACAACAGCCTATCCCTCTTCACGCAGGCAAATATATATATAAAAAGCTCCTCAATTCCAGCAGGTGAAGGGCCTTGCTTTCTGAGTTCTTCCCGAGAAGAAGCCGGGAGGAGGGGGGAGGCAGGGACCAGATAAAGCAGGCGGTGGGAGGAAGCAGAAGAAGGAGGGGATGCTGGGGTTGTCAGTCATGTGTGGAAGGTACAATCAGGTCAATTCAATTCAAAGCCAATGCGACAAGCTAATTTTCCAGCCCGGTCATCTGCGGCCGCCTCAGAAGAGAGGCTGGCATTGACAGTAGTCATTACAGTGACACTGGCTCCCAACCTGAAGAGCAGAGAGGAGAGGAGCGGACAGGACACTCACCGAAGGGCCAGCAAGACAACCCTCCCCCTCAACTGAACCTCTCTAGAAAAAAAAATACAGAGCTTTAGATGAGCAAAAAAAAGTTACATGTTCATTTCTCTCCGAACTCCTACTCGAATGCACGCAGAATGAATCTTTGTTCATTAAAATGTGCGATCAGTGTGTAATTCATTACACCAATAGGTCATGAGGTCCTCCAGCTTTATTTTAGCAATACAAACTTTAACCAAGTTCGTTTCATTTAGACCAGTATCTTTAGCTTAACTCACTTCTGCCACCTAATGGACAATAAAACGTTCACTGCATATGCAAATTGATTAACTTTTTGATGACTGATGCTGACGGCTTAAAGTAGAAGATGCATATATTCCAGTTTATTGTGTTTCCTGTTATTTGTCTCAGTCGTTGTATAGAAAACGGTATAAATACACTTGATTAAAGTTATTAACAGAGTACGAGAAACAATAATACTGCTCCTAATTACACTCCAACCACCTTTTATAAACTAGAAAACATTTAATAAAGAAAATGCCAGCAGATTTGCAGACAAAATGACAAATACATTAACTATTTGCATGAATATTTGATGCCTTATCTTGACATTAATGTGAAATATTAGTTTATTTTCCCTAATTGACAGTCATCTAATGAAAGAAACAAAATGTACCGGCAGAGATTTTGAATGAAAATTGGGGAGAACTGGAAGAGCATATTATTGCTTCCTTAATAGCCAAGAGGAGGTCCAAGAAACAGGATAAAATCTATTGGACAGATTACGTCCCATTGAAATGAACTGCCATCTCAATGTGTCATTTAATAATCATAAATCTGCATATTCAAGATTTTCATCACAACACTGAAATTCCTTTTTATGGTCATATAATGCACTTTTTGTAACCAAAGTGGAAAGAACGTGCGTTTTAAAACTTAAGAGTTAGGCTACCACTGAATATTAAGCACAGATATTTCACTGGATTTATTTAAAAACAAAACTCAACATTTCTGATTACTGTTTAGTTGAATTGTGGAAACAAGCATATGAGATAAGAAGATATTCTAGTCTAGAAGTAAATTTCTATTGTTCCTTATTAAAGCAGAGTAAAAAGTATCATACCATTTGGCATATCATAGTCTTTTCTAACACCAAATCTAACAATTTTGCACATGCATGTTGTTATTTAAAAGCAAACTAATTCATGCTCATGTTTTGCTTTGAACACTACATTAAGGGATAAACATCTCCCCCTGCTGGCCAAAGATTGCCACTGTGGCACTGTCTCTGAGCCATGTCAATGGCAGCTTATCAGGGGCCCTGAAATTGGGTGCAATAGGGCATTATAAAGCTCCTTTTACCCATCTCCAATGTGCCTTCAACGGCAGGGATCCTTTTAAAACTGGATTTCCTCACCTCAGCAGACAGCAGTGTAAAGGACAGCTATTCATGTGGCTAGAGAGTCTGAATAACTTGTGGCGCTGATTGCTTAAAGAGCCCTGCACTCAAAACGGCTGGCAGTCCATGTATGAGACACAGATAGGGCTATCAGTCACCGCACTCATCAAAACTGCCAAAATATGAGCACAACTCTATGAGTCAACAGAAGAAAGTTTTGTGCACTTTTTGTGGTGTATTCAGGGATATCTATAGCTGAAAAGGAGACTAGATGCTTACGTTAGACCTACATTAACCTCTTAGGTTATTTAGGTAAATGTAAATATGTGTAAAACGGTATGCAGAAGGCAAAAGTGTCTGATTTAAGCTATTAAAAAAAAGTCACATAAATCACACCACATTGCATTTTCCATAAACAAAAGGCTTTAAATTAATTTAATGTTTTTTTTTTAAATGCATTTATACATGTAAAAAATGTTTTTGGCAGTAAAATGAATTAATTCAGTTAAAGGGGTCTATGATGTTGCTAAAAAGAACATTATTTTGTGTATTGAAATCGCATCATATGACCCCTTTAAGATTTTCACTGTCACGTTTTCATTTGTCACTCTCTAAATTCAGGGTATATACAGGAATCATGGAGTTAAATTTAATACCTTTTAAGACCTTTTTAAGACTCTTTCTATACATTTTAAGACCTCATCGCCAGTTTTAATCGGTTACATCGGCGACACTTTAACTTACATTTACTATATATTGATTGTAAGCGCAACTAAACAGACTTACTTTGTGATAACTCCTTATCAATGCAACATAATTCAGAAGGGGGGAACGAAGCACAAGAGAAATAATTGAGTGACTAACCAATGCAACCCCCAACACGAGCTGCAGAAGTCAGATTTGACTAATCACGGGTCAAAGGTAAGGAGAGATAACTGACAAGACGTTGGAGGATTTGCTCCTCAACAGATCCCGAGCTCATTGACAAATATCTTTTATCGTAGGATGTGCTCCCTTTACACAGTGCGCGCGCGATCACGAAATCGAAAGTGAAAGTGAACTACGACTGAGAGCGCTCATTCAAATGGGATTTAAATACCCCACATATTGATAGCGGCGCCCTGATGCGCGAAAATTATATACAATATTAGAATGTTTGCGGGAGCGGACACAAAAATCGCGGGAGTGGATGGGAGCATGAGGTAATGGTCAGAATTTCAGCGTGAGCGGGATCAACAAGCCCCGCGCTATCACGCAGCGGCGCAGTCAGTCAGTGAGAGCCTTAACAGATGAAGTCAAATCTTGTGGGATTCCATAAATAAAATACACAGAACTCCACTATTCGGACAAATATACATAATGAAAAGATGATACAAAATGTAATACCTTGGAAAATGGCATTTAAGACTTTTTAATAATTATTAAGGGCCTTAATTTTCTCTAAATTGATTTATCAACTTTTAATACTTTTTAAGACCCTGCGGACACCCTGAAATTTAAAACCTAGCTAAATGAATCAGTTGGGGGAAAAACATAAATTAATTTATATTAACAGACACATATACACCAACAATTAAGAGAGAATCTGTGTGACTTACTTGGATGACTTTGTAGAAGTAGGCATACTGCCGCGCTGTGTTTTTGTATTGACTGAGTACGTCCTGTATGGCTTGTGTGGCCAGCAGGTGGCGCACTTCCTCCTCTTCAAAGTACAGGGGTGTGTCATAGTCAGCAGGCAGTGTCTTGATGTAGGGCAGCCAAGGTGAGCTGGGATTGGACCGTTCACACAGCAAGTGTAGAGCCAGAGTCACATTGCCCATGGCCTGAAGGATCCGGTCTTGACTGTACAGCGGCCCTGTGAATAAAAGGTGAACTTAGGAGTCAGTCTGTGAAAATGTTCAAATGTTTTCTAGACACAACTAAGGTTCTTTTCACTTTTGCTATCACACTAGGTTTTGCTTTGGACCTGTGTAATTTAGCTGAAAGCTTTGTATGTTTGAAAGCCTAAGAGTGCAACCAGGAACCACACTGAGGAGAATTAAAGGAGTTCATATCAGGTCATGTAAACCACAGTACAGTTGGTACCATTTTCAAAATGTACCATTGTGCAGACAGTTCAGAAAAACATATCCGTGTTCTAACCAGTGTTGTTTTTGTTAACTAAAACTATCAAAAATAATTTTCAGTAATTGAAATAAAGCTGAAGCAAAACATAAATATTACATGAAAAAAAAAATTAAAGTCTAATAAATTTTCTGTGGTAATCAACAGCATGTCACAGATGCTGTCGACAGAGTTAAAAGTTGTATTTAACATTCCTGGAACAATAAAGTAACATTTATATAAACGTGGTCTCCATTTTCTCTGTGGGGAGAGATGTGACATGTCATTGTCAGAGTTTGAGGTCAAAGATTGACATTGCTATAACTATGCAAACTCACCAAGGACAGAGTCCTTGGCAGATTCTACAGTCATCAGCATTTTTCTAGGGATCCACAGGAACAGCTCCTCTGCCTGAAATGGACAGAAAATGTTACATACAAATTTAGTTTAATTACAGGGCTAGTCCTTTCATGACACATTCAAATTCCAATTTTTTTAAATTTCTTAAATTTTTTTTAAATCTTAAAAATGCATTTTATATCTAGCAATTAGCAAAAGCAACTGAAAACGTCAATGAGACTAACTGTAGCAGCCATTCAAAACCATCTGAACATTGACTCAATCAAGTCTGGAGGTAAAGTATGATGTGCAGTGATCAATAACCTCTATATATTCCCTTCTAAAGCATTAACAAGGACGATGGTGAAAACAGCTATGATCAATACATATACACACCGGTAATTACCACTTGGTCACTGACCATTAAGAAGGACCACACAAATAATTACCATCTACTGTATCTACAACCAATATATAAGATGAGTTGCTGTAGGTGTAGGTGACAGAAAAAGCCAGCATGTCGCACAATGGACTGAATCTCAATAATACACAAGTGTTTGATGCCAGAAAGACTACCAGCATGAGATCTGGTTCATATTGCAGCTTATTTTGGCGAGGAACAGCCCATTTAGAGACAAAGGCGCTGCAAGAACTGAACTTGTAAAAATAATAAACCCAGATAAAAAAAACGATGTATCCAACATATTGCATAACTAAAATAGTCTAAAAAGTCGAACTAAAATAGACTTTTATCCATTTTACCATCAAACAATCCCTGGGCTGGCTGAGAAAGAGACCAACCTTGATATCTCTGGCGGCCTTCAGGCCATATCCTTCATCTGCAAAGTTGGAGATCTCAAAACAGTCACAAGAAGCCCCGCATTCTGCACCCCAGGTCATCAGCTCGGAGAAAAAGTCCTCCCTGGTTCCCTCGAATGATACTGACATCCCTGAGGAAATAATACTATCCCAACATTAGCTAATTTAGCTATTGTATGTATACTGAACATCAGCGTGAGAAGTTTTCTCTGGTAATGAATTCCATTATTCTATGGCACTCTACTGTATTATGTTACTGTAAAACCACACAAGTGGACCTAAACAGTGCTACCTATTACTCTTGTGTATCCTGCTGCATAATGTGCCATTTAACATTTATTCTAATGGATATTTATGTGTTCTAATGTACATCTCTGAGACTCCCACTGAGTATTTTATTAAGTAATGTGATAGGATCTTACTCAAGTCATGTAACCGAAGATATTTCTGTGTCTGCCACAGTACAATAACTTACTGTGTATGAGCATATTATAGTCATTCTATCAGATAAAGAAATGTGTAACATGCCATCTTTTGTGCTGATAAGACTTCTCATACTCTGGTGTTTCTCTTAAAAGAACCAAAAAAAAGCTATTATTAATTCACCCTCATGTTGTTCCAAAACATTTTTATAGCAAAATTAACAGGCCAAAAACAAATGGCCAAGCTATCATTTGGCTTGAAAATAATCGAAAAATAGTGCATGAGCCATATTGACGACTTTTATTGTTCTTCTTTGACAGGTTTGAAGATTTACAGGATCCATCTCTATTCACTTGCATTGTGCGGGAAAAGATCTTCAAAGACATTCTGTATAATTTCTCATTCACCCAGAAAAAAAGTCATAAGCACAAGAAAATTGCAGAATTAATTTCACATCTGGGTGTTCCACACCATCTGCTTTTTTCCGACCTCTTTTTTATTGCAACTAGGACAGTTTAATACTTTACTCCTTAAAAATGGCCAATGGAAAATCACAAGGCAAACCATGCTACGTAAAAGCTTCAAAACTGCTAAATCATATTAATATGAAGCAACTGTGTACCTTTCTGTTTCTTACGGATCTTCTCCACCAGAGCTCGGATCTGAACATATTCCTCCCACTCTTTCCCAGGAGAGGGAGCAGCGCTGCTACACTCTGAATGGGGGAAAGAAAATAAAAAACATTGCAATAAGTTTATATTTAACAATCACTTATGCTTAGATTAACAAAACACAATGATTGACTATGGGGGGAAACAGCTTAGTGCTCCATATTAAAGAAATAGTTCACCAAAAATAAATGAAAATTTGCTGAAAAGTTACTTAAACTCAGGCCATCCAAGATGTAGATGAGTTTATTTCTACATCAGATTCAGAACAGATTTGGAGAAATTTAGCATTACATCACCTGCTCACCAATGGATCCTGTGTAATGAATGGGTGCCGTCAGAATAACTGACAGCTAAAAAAAACAACCTACAAGTAATCCACATGACTCCAATCTATCAATTAACATCTTGTGAAATTAAAAGCTGTGCATTTCACTTGAGAAAGCAATATTATGGATAGAGGACTTGCATTTTAGCCAGAAGCAACAATTTGAAGTTAAAAATATCTTGATGGATTTATTTATTACAAACACAGCTTTTCGCTTTGACGTTAATTAATGGACTGGAGTTGTGTGGTTTACTTGCGGATTATTGTAATGTTTTTATCAGCTGTTTGGACCGTTTGGATTCTGACGGCACCCATTCACCGCAGAGGATCCATTGGTGATCAAGCAACGTAATGCTAAATTTCTCCAAATCTGCTCCAATGCAAAAAAACAACTTTTCAGAAAATTTTTTTTTTGGGGTGAACTATTCCTTTAAGTACATTTAATATAAAGGATGGTCTTTATTATAAACAAGTCCATGTCCTCCATAAAATGAGACACGCAAATTCGAAGAGCTGTTTGACACAGTAGTTACAAATTTGGACTGATAACCAAATGATTCCATGAAATACCACCATACCCTTGAGCACTTAACCTCAGGTGGCACCATTCGGATAAAAGCTTCAGATTATTAAATACTAAATAGATTTTCTTAAACATAAAGAAACCATTCTAACTAAAGAGGCTCAATTTTCAGTATCCAGCTGCATACTTTTTTGCCATAACAAATATTATAACAATCATGTGATGCGATTATGGCATAATCACAAAAGCCTTTTGTGTACCAGTGATGCACAGTGTTGCTCCTCATGAGAGTAATTCATCCAACAGTATATCAGAACAAGAATGCAGCCATAATGCTGTATACTCACTCTGCAGCAGTTCAGAGATTAAATTCATCATCTCTTTCGGAGAAACCGCAGCTGTGGCCCCAGTCCCTGATTTCTGGGTCTTCACTCGACTCTTTTTACCCATCTTGCTGGTCTGGGAGAGAGGATGGCTGTAATAATAGCAAGTTGAAAGCAACAAAACGAATAAAAAACAAATTAAATGGGATTATATTTAATTAGAGTAAAAATCAAGCTACAACATGACCAGGTTTCATATCTGCTTCATGCAACCTAGAAGGCTGTACAATAAATGAGCCAATAGTCTGAGAAGTACTGACTTTTCACCTCTTATAAATATTTAGGTCCAGTGGACTAGGTACAGTATATTCATAACGAAATGGTAGAAACATGTGAATATGTGAATGTTTCACATCCAAATAATCTCTGAACCTAGAATTACTGCCAAGAAAGGTTAATGGTCTCTGTGAGGGATTATACGGATGGCTACAGTGAGCCAAAGGGCACTAAATCAGGTACTTTGTTGTAAACACTGAACATGTGGCTTGCATGAAACTCATCAAATACAACAAACTTGTGTCATTAACATAAAACTTCCATGCAGTTAAATTAAATAATGACTCCTATGGCAGCTGTTCCCATATTTCAAAAACGGTCTGGCTGCTCCAACTGTACAAATTTGGGCAACGCGCAACAGCATATCGGCCTAGTAAACCATAAGTCTTGAAATCTTTGTTGTTGTTGTTGTTGTTGTTATGATAGCAATCACTCATTAATAAATCAAAAATATAGAAAAAACATGATTGGACCATTTTATTTATTTAAAATGCTGTTTCTCAGAGACGAATACATAAGCCGCCAATATTTCGACCATGGATATGTCCATCAAATACCCCAAGCCAACTGTTTACTAAACAATGACAGGCCCAATTGTATTACTGAACTGAACAAATTGGATTGAAACACTTAAAAGTAAGCTACTTAAGAGAGAACCAGCAGCAGCAGCACTGCAACTATACTGGCTGACAGCATTAGATAGCAAAAGACATGCAACAAACAACATAAATTGTACATATCAAAATTCAAAATACGAGATCAGTATATTAGATAATGATCTAAGCAGATTGATGCCTTAAAATAACTCCGCTTGGCCCAATGCATTCATTCATTCAAACCCACCAGTAGATGATCACCTGCTTCACATTACACACTATTGCACTGCATGTCAGTCTTCATTTTAAACACTGGGTGGTCAAGTGATCATGAATTATCCAAATGCATGAATTAATACCTCAAGAAACATACAATCCATACATTCATTCATTCATATTTACATCCATTCATCTATCTGTCTGTCTATGGCCCAAGTGTCTCAAAACCTGGTTAGTTGACTACATTAACATAATTTTAGGGCATCATAGGCAAATCTGAAACGTTCATACTGTATTTTAAACGTTCAACAACATTTCTGGGAGCGTACTGAACGCTTTAAGCACGCCTACGACGCCCAGATATGCTTCCTAGGTAGGCTGCTCACAAGATTTTGAGACACATTCAATGTGTTAATAACCAGTAGTTATTCTTGTATTTCGCAATTTGTTGAATTACACACCCTTCATAGCGTACATTTGCGACGCATTTGCAGGCATGTGGCTTATTATATGATGTTTAACTATCATAAACACCTCGTGCACATTTGCAAATATTATTTAATCCGATTGAACAGCAAAACTACCTTCCAATTGACTGCACGGATCCTTCTTTCAACCTGGAATTCAATCCTCTTCTGCTCGCTCTGCTGGTAAAAACTAACTTACTTCAGAGGCAAAGCCACGCCCTAATACACTTTTCAAAAAGCGGATTGGCCCATTGTTGCGTTTGTCCCGCCTTAAACTTGTACAGAAGCGTATTATAATTGGGTAATGTTCCACACGCAACTGCTTACGTGTGAGATAATTGGTTAAAGCGTAAAATATATTTCACATCGCTAAACTGTCAGCATCTATTGGTTCGCGTTAAGGCGGTACCCGTTTGCAGTGACTTTACTGGTAGTGAGAGGAGTCGATGCCGTACGGTCAGATTTACAAGGTTGGTTTGACTACACAACAGAAAAGGCTTGTGTGCCTTGTGATTGGAAGTTTACTTTGGGTTCATAAAGTGACCATAAAAGGATAAAGTCTGCGCAACGTGATTCGCGGAGGAAACCGTCAATAATAGCCACAACATGTAAAACGTAACGCATGTAACATATTGTTGTAAACCATTTATAATTTCTATTGTGTTTTAATGTGATTTATAATGTGTTTAATAATAGTTAATACTTTAATAAATCAATTATTCGTATTTTTTATACCACTTTACAATGTATAATTTCTCTTTTTGACTTCATACATTTATATTTTTATATATTTACAAATTGTGAGCATGTAGGAGGACACATTTTTACGTAAATGTAATACAGGGTTGGAAAATGGACAACCTCGTATAGAATGAATTAAGAATAAAACAGCTCATACAATATTTAATTGGACCTTCTAGGGTTGGGAAATAACATATTCTGAAGTTTAAACACCTAATTTCTCTGATCATTTGCTGGAAAAGACAAAAACTCAAGTCATTCAACTCCAGCAAACCCCCAGTAGATGGCAGACTCTGCACTTTTTCTACTGTTCATTTCATACAACTCAAAAAGGAGACGAGACTTTATACAAAGAGAAGGATTGTTTTATTTCAAATCTACAAGATGGTTATTTGCAATTTATTTAGAATTTTTATTAGCTAAAATACAGGTCCATTCTCAGCTACATACAGCTTATTAAAATATAAACGCATGCTAGTTACAGGTATTCTACAGTAATAGTAGTTATTTACATTGCGCTGAATTGTATGTCCTAGCTTCATGTGTTTCACGTACAGATGAGCTACACAGAACATTGAATTTCATGAAAGATTCAAACATCAAATCCTTATTCACAAAAGAAGCAGTGCATTTGAAAAGAAAATAGGAAAATGTCAGCATTTCAGATTCTTTTGTGCTTTAAACTGAACAAATACAAAAACGTCAGTAGTTGTGTATTCTAGATCTGTTTATAAAGGACACTTTCAACTGGATTTCAAAAATAGTTTTAATGTATGTGTGTAGTTCAACACCAATGATTTAGGTATTGTGTTCACATGGAACACTTCACAGCATAGCAGAGACAATATTACTGTGTTGTTAATAGCACATACTGTTTTACTGACCCAAATTCATAACGTATCCTTTTCATAAAAATATGCAACTATTTTCTTTACTTATTCAAATGTTTGCTGCTCATTTTGTTCTATTACTTTTGTCTCAATTACTGTTCTTTTTAACCTTCTATTCATTGATGGTTTCCACAACTGAGCAGCACGACAGTTTTCAACATTGATAATTATAAGAAATGTTTCTTGAGCATCAAATCAGCATATTAGAATGATTTCTGAAGGATCATGTGACACTGAAGACTGGAGTAATAGCTGCTGAAAATCACAGGAATATATTACATTTTAAAACAGAACAGCTATTTTAAATTGTAATAATATTTCACTATATTACTGTATTATTACAATATTACGTTCACTGTATGTAGAAGCAAATAAATGCAGCCTTGCTGATCATAAGAGACTTCTTTCAAAAACATAAAAAAAATCTTACAACCCCAAATTTTGAACGGTAGTGTAAAAGGTAAAAAAAAAAATCTTTGAATAATATGGAGTGGACTTATGCCAAAATCAAAAAGCTTTTAGGAGTGGAAAGGATCTATCCTGTAGGAGTATCTCCATGGAGTATTTATCTGCGTAAGAGCTGTGTGCTTTCATTCCTTATCTGGAACGAGAAATGAATCCATTAAGCTGCCTTGTATGAATACTTGGATGGTGTGCACATAAATAGAGCTATGATTTAGCTTGTGCTAATTGTGAGTCTATTATGTATTTAACTACCACCTGGCATCATAAGTAATAGGTCTGATATGTCTCAACTGAATGCCATGGGCTGAAAGGAGCTGGCAGTAGAAGCAAAGTTCTTTGTGTGGTTTCCCGAAGTTGCCCAGTTCTGAGACTGTCTGTTCCTCCTGTCATATTCACAGATTTGTTTGTTTGTTCGAGGCCCTGCTGGTCATTGACATGGAAGCTACAAAGGGCCTTTGAACTGGTTCCCAGAGAGATGTTGGCGGATGGAGGGTTTGGATCCTGCTGCATCACCGAGCTTACGCCACACCACCTGAACACACAAAAGCAAACACACAGTTGGGTGAATCTTTTGACTATATAAAGTCTTGTAATATGAAAAATGTCCTCAAACTATTTCTTCAGTGCTACCATGCAGCATGTTCTGGAATGAAGATGTGGTCATATAATGTGTGTGATGGTATGGATTTTTGATATTGTGTGTGATGATAATGATGATTTGAATGTTTGAGTTCTGGAGACAAGCTTCCTAATAGAACATGTCAGCTATAATGTCATAATATAAATAATGTTTGTATGTTTTTTTTTATGTTTTTCTCATTCTACATATTTTTTTAATTGTAAAAGTGTAGTAATAACATAATAAACCAGCTAAAATCTTTATGAAAAAAAAGAGAAAAAACAAATGTTTAAATTAAACACTTTTTATGTATTTACTATTTTTATGTATTTATTATTATACAACTTATATATGTATATATATATATATATATAGTTTTTTTTTTTCTAAATTCAAATTTCTTGACTACTGACCTGTTTAGTAACGGCACTTAATAAACCAACACAAATATATGAAAAAAACATATTTTTTATTCAATTACAAATGTATTATTTTATTATAATTTATTACATTTATTTTTATAAATTACTTAAAACTTCTATATAATTTTTATTTAAAAAACTACAATCTGAATACATAAAAACTAATTTAGATGAAAAAAAATTAAAAGACTTATTAGCGAGAAGTGCTAAATATAATATTCCTATAGTTTTTAACACTTCTTATGTATTTATTAGAGGGGACAGGGGAGTTGAGAAAAGCCCAAAAAATAAAAATTCTGGTAGAAATTTTTTGAGAATTTTACATTCTTAGGGAATAGTTATAGAAGGCAATATATATTATTAAAAATTTTTAATAATCTATTTGTATATAATAAAGTGAAAAATTCCCAAGTTAAGCAATAACTCATCATACAGAATGAGCTTCTAAAAGGGGGGCTAGTTGGTTGGGTGGGACTAGGGACTAATTACGCTCAGAAAAGAAAGAAGCCCTTGTGCTATCTGAGATTTTGCTTTTGACAGGCTGAGGTTCTCCGTGCAGGAACAGAGCACAGGTCCCAGATTCCAGGGGCCCTTCAGGGAGCTGATAAACCTGCATTGTTTCAGTGATCAAGTTATTTTAATTGCACAGACAACAGTGCGGTAAACACTCCAAGGACTTTTGCCAAGGCCTCTCATTAAAGTGGTCTGAAAGTGGGTCTCTGTTGTGCAACATTGAAACAGTGTCCTCAATCAAAACCGATGTAATTATACAAAGCGACAGCACAACAAACACATGGGAAAGGGAGCACAAACTTACAGCCCCTTTCTGTTAACAGGGTTTTATTAATGGACAAGTAAGCTGGGGTTCAGGGTAGGGGGAGGCAGATGGGAGATGTTTCTAAGTACTCACATTACACATCTCTCTGACAATGGCTTTCTCTTTCTCACTGAGATCCTCCTCGTAGTCCTCCGGGATCTTCCTGTCTAGGTTTTCATGGACTTCTAATACCTACAAAGCAAATGAACAGAGGTGCTCGATAAATCAAGCAGCACTATTACTATGACTCAAACTTAACTGACTTGAACAAACCACCAATCCTAATTATTTACACTTAAGTGTAACTCTTAAGGCACTGTTTGTGCAGCAAAATGAATAATATCTCAAATCAAAACCGACTTTGGCTTTACTCGGCAGCGCTAAAACCAACAGCGCGTATGCTTACTTCCTCGAAAGCCACCAAAATAAAAGCTTGGTAATTTAAGGTTTGAAATGTTGAAAATTCATATAAAAAATGCTAAAAAAACAAACAAACATTAAAATGTAAATTCTTTTAATTTAATAAAATTTAATGTACATTTCAAATATAATAGTAGTATCACACTTTATTTAGTTATTTAATAATTAGTTATATTTCATTTATATTAATAGTAAAACAAAATATATAAATAAAATAAAATTATAAATATAATAAAAGTTATATTTATAATTTATATTTACAGCCATATAATATATATATATATATATTAAAATTAAGTAATTTATATCAATATAGAGTTTGGAATCTCAGTTTTATATGTGTGTGTGTGTGTTTGCTGTACAATTCTGAAATGAAAAAAGAAAAACAGCGAAATGACTCAGTGCTTCAGAATATGCTTGCCCTTTTTCAGAGGCTGTGTGTTCTCATAGATATGAGAGGAAGAGTGCATAAATAGGGTGTTAAGTAAATAAATAAATATATATATATATATATATATATATATATTAAACTAATAAAATAGCTAAATTAGTAATACAAATTCAAAAAAGATAAAAAGCTCATTCAAAATATTTTTACCAAATCTTTCTGTTGTCTTTCAAACATCACAGATCCAACTAATCACAGAAAATCCTCTAGGTGGCAGTATTACTATAACATGTAGCAGGAATGACGATGAAAAACGATGATAGTTTTAATTCTAAAACCTATGCTGAGTGAGAAGTGAGAAGTGAGAAACCATGAGAAGTTTTTACCATGAAACTTGATCTGATTTCTGGAAAATTAGGCTTGATTTTAAACTTTTTAATGTTTTTTTCCCCCACTTTTTACTGATAGACATTGAGGGATAACAAAGAAAAAACAAGAAAGTATACATAAGGACAAGTAAGAATGGCTTGATTTTGCAATATGTGCAACAGAATCTTACTTTCATGGCATGGACAACAGCCTCTGGTTTCTGTGCAGCCGGCAGGTATCCTGTGACGGGGGGCGGCAGATCACCTCCTGGCATCCGCGCAGACCCCTGTAGACAGATGAACACACATTCATCATGATCAAAAATCACTAATACTGCCCTCTCAGAAGTGATCTGAGCACTGCAAAACCCCATGGCTGTTTCTCTGAGTCAACTCAGGCTCGAAATGGGTTAAAGCATCTCATTATAACTCATCTCTGCTTGGACCCCCTTCATGGGTACACATCAACAAAGAGCTCTTTCAGTGCACGGGGTCTGGTGTGCCCCTGTTTAGACACAGCCCTTTGAGTCCCATTCTAGCGTTAAATCCACAACAATTGAGCTGGCATTTCAGCACTGGGGTCGGGAGAGGACCCCTGGATGGAAACTGCGGCTCGCTTTTGGCCTGGGAGAACAGGACTGTGATGTTCACTTGCAGTTGCCAGCAGGTTTATTAAGGGCTAGAACCGTGGGGACTGTACCCTGGACTGACCCGAGTACATCCCGAACCAATGGTCGCTGTCATGTGTCGGCCTGCAGCCTGATTAGAAAAGCCCAGGAGTCCCACGATTCATTCTGCATGGATTCATTCGCCAGTAAAAACCAAGCAGTGCTCGAATATGGATTTTTCTAAAAGCAAATGCCAATATCTATTCAAGGCCTCATATGGTAAAGTTGTATAAACTATATTGCAATTGAATTACTTGAGATTAAATGTAAGCGATTTAATTCCCATCTTTTGGGTATAATGTCACAGTTCACTTTATTTTGCTATCCTCACTTACAGTACATAAATGAACTATAGTGTCCTGCACCCACTAGTAAAAAATATCAAAAATTATATCTGGTGTCTGAATAATTTTTGGTTTGTAATTAATATAAAAATAGAAATAATAATCATTTAAAAAATTTAAAAAAATGTAATAAAGAAAAATATTCTATGCAATTACACAATTACATGCTGAATGTCACAATAATATATTTTAATATAAAAATGTTAATATAGATACATATTAAATAATATAAACATATGATTCTATCACATAAAATAAATTCACAGTTTTTACAAATTATTCACAGTTATTTTTCTTGTGTAGATTGTAGATTGATGTGAATATAAACAATAATTTAAAAACATTTTAGCTTACGGCCCTTTAAAAAATTAAAGGGTGTGAACATGTTTTCTTTATTAAAAATTATTCAATGCAACTCACAATATATTCTAACACTTTGGCACAGTTACATTCTATTTACATTCCAATATGTTGAAATGGGCTCAGAATGCTACAGAATAGCCTTGTGTGCATTTATTCTGTTGACCTAAAACACTATTTCATCAGATTATCGATTACTCAAAATAATCCATTAAGAAGCAAGTGGCATCTCCAGGCATTAACATCAAATAAGTGATCATCGCATTTGTTTGGAGCCCAGTTTTGAAGCCTTGGCATGAGGAACATCTGTGTGATTGGCTAGTGTGCCTAGTGCTGTCACAAACAGAGCAGAGGACTATAGATGCAGCCAAATTTCATCATTATAGGCCTATCAAATCCAAGTCCAATAATATTAGATATTCTGAAGAGCCTTACTAATGCCTCTATAAACTCCCACTGCTTATCTATCATCTGTTTAATCTGCGAAATGCATTGATCATAAACACCAATTCACAGACTATATCCTGGAATAAACAAATCCAACGATTAGACCACATGAAAACTGCTATGCATATAACCTTACTCTGAGGTATGCAACACGTTTCAATAAAGAAGACAGGAAAATGTAGATGTTATAGGTATACAAGTTATACTGCCATTTAAAAAAATAGCAAAATTGTAAGAAAAAAAAAAACATTAAGTATTAGCCTCAAAAACAGTCTGTTTTTTCTTAGTCCGGCTGTAAAGATGTTTATAAGATCCTGGGCAGCTAAAACAAACACTTATGAGGAACAAATAACCATATTTGCAAAAATTCGCCACATCAAAACTTCAAAAGATATGGGGCCAGTAAGAATTTTGTGGGGGTTTTTTTTGTTTTTGTCCGAAAGAAATTAATATTTTTATTCAGCAAGAATGCATTCAATTGACCAAAAGTGACAGTAAAAACTTTGATAATGTTACAAAAGATTGCTATATCAAATAAATGTTGTTCTTTTAAACTCTTCTGTGTCCTGGCAAGAAAGCATCATGGCTTTCACAAAAATATAAAGCAGCACAACTGTTTTCAACATTGATGATAATAAGAAATGTTTCTTGAGCACCAAATCAATCAAATGATTTCTGAAGGATCATGTGACACTGAAAAATGATGGCTCTTGAAAATTCAGCTTTACCATCAAAGGAAAAAATATATATTTTAAAATATATTAAAATAGAATAAATGTAATATTTTATAACATTACTGTTTTTACTGAACTTTTGATCAAATACGGACCCCAAACTTTTAAATGGTATTGTGTATATATACATTTACATTTAGTCATTTAGCAGACACTTTTATCCAAAGCGACTTACAAATTTACATTAATGTCAAAAATCACAGTATTTCCACACTACATTTTAATAGTGTTAAGCAACTCTAAAACAGCACCAATATGCTCTGATTACCTCTCCTCAGGTAACTGCTAACAACAGCAACCGATCTGCTTGCTTATACGAACCTGATAATTGTTTCAGCAGCTCGCCGCTGCATTATTTAGTGCCATCTCCCCCCGTGATTAAAGCGAAAGTTCAAAGCCATGCTAATGAAGCCATGAGCTCGCAGACAGGGCTGAGACGAGCTGGGATAAAATAAGCCCAGCAGCCTCTGAGGACGAGACCCACACCACTCTCTAATTGATTTCTCCTTCCTGTGGAAGCTGTCCCTCATATTAAAGTGGAGCAGCTGGGCTGTTTTGGCCTGTCAGAGCTGATGAGTGCACTGATTAGCTAAAGCACCAGGTTCGCAGATGACCTTTTTTGAGGACACGAGTTGAGGGGAATGATGATGATGATGATGATAATAATGATATTTAAGGAGAAGAGAGGAATAATAAAAGAACTTTTAAGGACAGAACATATTCAACAGCATTCAGTTTCATCCCTTACAGCATTGTGGGCTTTGTCATTGGAAATATTAAACTAGGGTTGGCTGAATTGCTCCTATAAGGTCATTTTTAGGTTAGAAAGGATATCTAAAACAAGGATCAGCACTGAGACAGTCTCCAGCAGATATCAGAGTACAACAAACCTCCTGCAATCCACAGGAAATGACCTAAGAGTATAGCATCTTTCATTTTTTTTCTGTGCTGCATTATGCATATTAAAATAATAAAACATTTCTCATCCCACTACAAGAAAAAGTATATAATACAAAATACACTATCGTTCAAAAGTTTGGGGTCAGTAAGATATTACTTAAAGAAATCAATACTTTTATTCAGCAAAGACGCATTAAAGACGCATACAGTAAAGACTTTTAGATTGTTGCAAGAGATTTCTATTTCAAATGAATACTTTTTATATGCTTCTGAGCTTTCTATTCATCAAAGAATCATGAAAAAATGCATCACCACAAAAATATTAAGCAGCACAAACTGTGGATGATATTAACAAAAAACAAAATAACAAAAGAAGTTGACACCAAAGACTGGAGTAATGGCTGCTAAAATTCAGCTTTGCCATCAGAGTGAACAGTAGTGTATGTTCTTGTAGTTACACATATAAAAAAAGCTTCCATCATAAAAACAGATGAAAGCAAATTCTGTAATGATTCTCAAACTGTAGTCGGCAATAAATAAAACTGTGGACCTGAATAATTAAAATAACTGAGTTATTTGAATGACAAATCAACTCATAATAAACAACTGATTCTGATGACATTCATTTTTGATAGTGTTTCTGTTCTCGTATTTCAATATAACGCAACTGACTGTTATGAACTTATTTAGTTCGTTAGCAAACAGTGTGGTTTATTTCAAGGAAATATGAACAAAATTAAATCTGGCAAAATTATTTCAGCATAGACTATTATACTAAACTGTATTGTATGAAGAGTGTCCACAACAAACTGGTAAATACTTGTTCTATGTATAGGTGGTCCACAATTTGATATGTTGAATTGTCTACTACCTGAAAAAGTTTAAGAACCACTGAACAACTCATATTCTTTCATATACTTTACTCTGTCATTCAGGCTGATGTTTTAAGCTCCTTGGCACGGGTCAATTCTCATCTGCATCAACAAAGAGCAATGAAGAATCCTTAAACCAGCTGGAATTGCAACAGCTAATTGTTGTCAAATCTCCAAATCAGATCAACATGACAAATCTTTTTAAGCTCAACTGTGATTTAGGTTTTGGCTCTGATGCAGAATAATGAGGTCATGTCAGATTTAATCAGCGGGATACGTACATTCTGTAAGGTGTCCTGAAACTGGGATAGCGAGGAGAGCTGGGACTCTGAGTGATACAGGGACAGCCCTTTCCGAAGTGTCTTCAGATCTCCCATGTTCCCCTGCTGTGGAGAGAAGCAGAAATGTGTCAAACACAGATTATTTGAGATAATTAGAAGGATTAACAGACAAATCAGACCCAAAAATGTTCCAGTTCCCTAGATGAATCAAAGTGGAAACCAAAAAGGATAAATATATATATAGTGTATATATATATATATAAATATATATATAAAATATTACAAAATATTTATATTTTAAATAAATTATGTTCTTTTGAACTTTTTATTCATCAATTTTCAACATTGATGATAATAATAAGTGATGCTGAAAATTCAGCACTGCCATTAAAGGAATAAATGCCATTTTATAATATATTAAAATGGAAAACATTTGTTTTAAATTGAAATAATATTTCAGAATATTAATGTTTTTACTGTATTTTTGATCAAATAAATACAGCCAAGAAGAGACTTCTTTCAAAAACACTGAAAAATCATACAAATCCCAAACTTTTGAACAGTAGTCATTTTACAGTAGAAGACCTATATTTATGCAGAGATATGAGAAATTGTATTTTCATAGAGCATGAATGTGGATGATTGCCGCAGGAAATGTCATTAAATACCAGATTATGTGTTTTTCTAAAATGTCATAAACCTATTAGAATTTGTACGTGCATAGCAAACAAAAATGTATATGATGTATAAATCGTGAACTAAAATATAAACTCCATAAATGAGTTTATTTAAGACATGATGTGGAAAAAGTGTAGAACTCCATCTGTCACACTAGAAAGATCCAAGACTGGGTGTGTGATTACAAGATAGTAAAGTATCAAACCCTTTAACCCTCTAGTCTCTCTGAACACTATAGTTGGTTGCGGATTAATGTCTAGTGGTTAACCAATATGGGCCAGTATACCATACCATATCATACTGATTCAATAATTCTAAGGGGAGATTTCAATCGCTGATGCTGATAACTTCATCAAACATCAGCTAATTATTATAAGCCTCTGAGTTGTTAATATGACTTAATTTGTAATAATGAGTGGTCATATACTGCCAACACAGAAACTGTCCAGACAGATTTACTTCCACTTGCTTTACTCCAGATTTTTGGCATGGGCCGGACAGTCGCTGAGGTCCTGACTTCAGAATGATAACAAAACCCCTGCAAAAATGTTTGCGAATGAAAAGTAGATAGCAGATGGCACGTGATATTTCCTGAGTGGTGATCTGAGAAGAGGGTAAAAGGTAAAAGAAAGCAAAGCAGAAAGCTCTGGAACTGAGAGGTAATGTCAGTCACGCTTCATAAATAATGACCTAAGAAATTTAGCCAAAAGGCACCTGTCTAAAAACTCTTACCGCTGCATATTTGAGTGTCACAGCCATGCCAGATTTTTGGCATGGGCCGGACCGTCGCTGAGGGACCCAGAGAGCACTAACACAGCCACAGTGTTTATAAATACAGCTGCTGCCTGACCTCATCTTACCATCTCCTCTGGTGTTGATCAAGACAACATTTAAACACTTAAAACTGACAGTACTGCAAATCTTGTTTTTATCTGAAGAACATAAACCACAACAATGATCGAGCTCATCTATATGCTTGTGCTTTTGCAAAATGCACTCAATATGACTTAAAAATAAAGATCTAGCAATCCAAGCACGAAGAAACCACAAGAACACCTTCCCAGCTTCTATCATTATGGGCATAAACCTGAAAAAACAGCATTCGTAATAGAGCAGAATGTGCTGTCCTCAACATATCTGACTTCAGAATGATAACAAAACCCCTGCAAAAATGTTTGCGAATGAAAAATAGATAGCAGATGGCACGTGATATTTCCTGAGTGGTGATCTGAGAAGAAGGTAAAAGGTAAAAGAAAGCAAAGCAGAAAGCTCTGGAACTGAGAGGTAATGTCAGTCACGCTTCATAAATAATGACCTAAGAAATTTAGCCAAAAGGCACCTGTCTAAAAACTCTTACCGCTGCATATTTGAGTGTCACAGCCATGAAATATCTTCTAAACAAGAGAAACCTTGTAAAAGGACATGGCCTTTCCTACTTTCATACCTTTCTAAAACAGACAACAAATGAAAATCTCTCTACACAATAAAGAATGAATGAATTTCCTCCATAGTAAAACCATCTGTGTGTGATTATCCCCATTTTGGCTTTCTTGTCCCTTAAGTTGATGGCTGTTGTGTGCAAACAGCGCACAAAGGGATTACTGGAGCTTAATCGAGGTTATGAACTTTTTCAGGGAAAAAGGGTTGTTACAAAAACTTTCTGCTATGTCTACGTGTATACGTTGTAGGGGTTGCACCGACTAATCGACTAGTCGACTTCAATGCTCTGCCATGACGCTTTAAGCTTGACATCGACTAGTTGCTGGTCCTGTAGAGGGCGCAACAGGATAAGAAATCTTTGAAGGACTTCCACATTTACGCTCCGTTTCCAAACAGTTCAAATGACAAATAAATGCATACTCTCAAAGCGCTCCACAAGACATGTGTGATTATATTACTGGATGCTCGAAATTGAACGAGCATGCACGAGAATGCACGTTTTAAACAGCTTATTGTACAGGTAAATTAATCGCCGTTCTAATCTAATGCGCTGCTGCACTGTAACGCACACACATAGGCTACAGACAGTAGCGCGTACATCACGCGCACAGAATCATTCAGCGCGGAAATGTATTGTCAACACTGTTCTGTGATTTCTCAATAAAATAGCTTAGAAACTGAAAGTTCAAGCATATATTTTTTAATAACTAAATTCCACAGCTTCACTACTAGTAGAGAGACGCTGCCAGGTAGAATTAATTTACACACGCAATCGCTCTCTCACTAATGCATTCATATTAATGTAATCTTTACTGTGCTACTTTATCTGTATCTGATTTAGAACGAGCAGAAATCTGTGAGAAATATAACAACTTAAAGACAAAAGAACTGATAAAAATATAAAGCTGATATAAAGCTGTTATAGGAGCAACAGCCATGTGGGCAGCGCTGTGTCATATGCCATAGCTGTGCACAAGCTGTTTATC